TTTGGGAGTTTTAACCCCCCTTTTTTGAATTTTGGTCATTTAAGGTTTAGGATTTTTCTATTTCCTTCTGAGGAAACTGATTAGTTCAGAGAAACGAGGTTTGTAGCCGGCATCCCGTTAAGGCTTTGTACAATTCTAGGTTATTCTAATTTTTTCCTTAAACTTTTTGATTTTTATTATTTAGTTTATTTCTATAATATAATATTTCTAGTCGATGACTTCTCGTTTCAGGGATTTTCACGGTATTTCATTTGTTTTGTGTAATTTCTCGGTTCCGTGACTGTCCTTTTTTTACTACAACCACGCACTCAGCAAGCACCCTGACAACTGTATCAATCAATCAATCAAATCTTTATTATGGTCATAGACCAGCATAAGAAAGGATTGGGGTGCAATCATTTAGAATCTTACAGATTCTGGAAAGCTAAAAAATATAAAAACAGAAGGTATATCTGAAAGACTGTAAGAATCTAAAAGAAACGGACAGAATCTAAAAGAAGGGTTAAGAACATTAGAGGGATACGGAAGAGCGTAAAAGGTTAGTATATAAAAGACTACAACTATCAGTTTAGAGAGCACTCTGATGGAGTGTTCATTCAATCTAGTTTGTGGCCCAGGTCATCATCTGACAGATTTTGAATGCTGGTGTGCAGAATCTGGCAACGTCGTATGTTGTAGCAGGATTGGTATCTGACAGCAGCAGGGAGGTATAAGATTGTTTTGTGTGCCCTGGGTCCTTATGGAATAGTGGGGAGATGAGGCTAATACACATTTTTCTATATCAGAATGAATGAATTTTATTATTACAGTCACAGACCAGTTCCGGCTCACTTACAATATCAGGGGGAAAAAAAAAAACAAACCAGGAATACATTGAATTGCAATTGGGTATAACAGAGACAGGGACACGGGTGGCGCTGTGGGTTAAACCACAGAGCCTAGGACATGCCGATCAGAAGGTTGCGGTTCGAATCCCCACGACAGGGTGAGCTCCCGTTGCTCAGTCCCTGCTCCTGCCAACCTAGCAGTTCGAAAGCATGAAGTGCAAGTAGATAAATAGGTACCGCTCCGGCGGGAAGGTCAACGGCGTTTCTGTGCGCTGCTCTGGTTCGCCAGAAGCGGCTTAGTCATGCTGGCCACATGACCTGGAAGCTGTACGCCGGCTCCCTCAGCCAATAAAGCAAGATGAGCGCTGCAACCCCAAAGTCAGTCACGACTGGACCTAATGGCCAGGGGTCCCTTTACCTTTCCCTTATAACAGAGACAATACAGACACAGCGGCAGTTAAAAATATATATTAAATCTTGATCACTAAAATATAACCTAAAATTATCATTTAAAACCTTAATTATTTTGGTAGTACAGCTTGTTCCCTTAGTTTTATGGCAGTTGCACGGAATTTGGCCACCCTTAGTGTGATCTCTAGATCCTTGTCCTCTACCCGGAGTTTTAGACATTGAAGTTCGGACCCATTTGGAGATTTTTGTATGACAGGAGTGATAAATACCGAGAGTATATCCCCGTAGAAACAGCAGCGTAACAAGACATGAGAGACAGTTTCTCTATATCGTATAGACACTGGAAAAGCACATGCTATTGTTTCTGTTTGAACCTGGTGGCTGTAGTTTGTTAAGGGTGCTGGGAATTGTAGCGTCGCAGAGCGTAAACTACAGTTCCCGTGGTTATTGGTGGAAAATGTGCTTTAAATGTACGTTGTGTACACAGCCTGGGAATCAGTTTAGTCCAGCGGGGAAAGAAGTTTTGCTCAGGACTCTTAGGTTCCATTCCCAGGCTGACGCTCCCCCAAATGATTTATTGGCATCCCTTTCCGCGTGGGATTCTAGGAACTCGCAACAAGTCTTACTGGGACAGTGACTCAGCCTCGTAAGAGTCGTCCTTGGGAAGGAGGAGGATTTATGAGGAGGGAGCAACTTTCAGGAGAAGCGAGGGTGACTTCATTCCGATGAGGCTCACAGTTCTGCGCGGGTCATGGCACCCCAGATTGGGCAACTGGCTGTGGCTCAGGAACGCAGCAGCCGCTCTGATTGCAGAAGGAAGGCCCCAGGGTTCAATCCTGACTGGAGAACTGATGCCAGTCAGTGCAGACATTCCCTTCTGGGTGGGCCAGAAGCCGATGACAAACCTAGACAGCATCTTAAAAAGCAGAGACATCACCTTGCGGACAAAGGTCCGTATAGTTAAAGCTCTGGTTTTCCCAGTTGTGATGTATGGAAGTGAGAGCTGGACCATAAAGAAGGCTGATCGCCGAAGAATGGGTGCTTTTGAATTCTGGTGCTGGAGGAGACTCTTGAGAGTCCCATGGACTGCAAGAAGATCAAACCTCTCCATTCTGAAGGAAATCAGCCCCGAGTGCTCACTGGAAGGACAGATCCTGAAGCTGAGGCTCCAAGACTTTGGCCACCTCATGAGAAGAGAAGACTCCCTGGAAAGACCCTGATGTTGGGAAAGATGGAGGGCACAAGGAGAAGGGAACGATGGAGGACGAGATGGTGGGACAGTGTTCTCGAAGCTACCAGCATGAGTTTGACCAAACTGCGGGAGGCAGTGGAAGACAGGAGTGCCTGGCGTGCTCTGGCCCAGGGGGTCATGAAGAGGCGGACACGACTAAACAACTAAACAACAACAAGGCCCTGTTTGCACTACTACGCCTTTAAGGACTCTTCTTTCCCCTCAAAGTATTCTGGGTGCTGTAGTTCGTTAGAAGTCGCTGGGAGTTGTAACTCTCTGAGCAGGTGAACTACAGTGCCCAGAATTCTCTGAGGGGAGCAATGTACTCCGGATGCGTTTTAAAGGCACAGTGTTGTATTCACAGCCTGGTTTTCTGCACACACAAACACTTTTCTCTTAGCCGCCCTCCAGGGAAGCAATAGGCTTTACGAGAATACGAAGGAACCTCCCAGCCAGATAAGCATCTTTCCACATTGTTGTTATTTACTTATTACCGACACTTCACCCAGGTCGCAACATTAACATACATTAAAAGCAGTTTAAAACGAGTTGCCTCCATAAAAACAAAGTAATGTTTATTGGATTTTATTGCGCTCGCCAGAGGCCAGGGCAACATATAAAGAAATCAATAGGAGGTTGAAAAAACCACAGCGGTCGCTACATATGCAGTGAAACTACGGTCAAATCCACCAAATATTTCTTATTACACAGAATAAAAATCAATTCTCAAATAAAATGTGCAAATTAGATCTCAGAGTCCCTTTTGTAAATGACCCATCCAGTTCTTTCTTCCTAGGTAAAGGTAAAGGGACCCCTGACCATTAGGTCCAGTCGTGGCCGACTCTGGGGTTGCAGCGCTCATCTCGCTTTATTGGCCGAGGGAGCCGGCGTACAGCTTCTGGGTCATGTGGCCAGCAGGACTAAGCCACTTCTGGCGAACCAGAGCAGTACACGGAAACGCCGTTTACCTTCCCACCAGAGTGGTACCTATTCATCTACTTGCACTTTGACATGCTTACGAACTACTAGGCTGGCAGGAGCAGGGACCGAGCAACGGGAGCTCACCCCGTTGTGGAGATTCGAACCGCCGACCTTCTGATTGGCTGTGTGGTTTAACCCACAGCGCCACCCGCGTCCTAGGTAATGGCAAATGTCCTCTATGTGTGGTTGCCCACACAGACAGAATAAAAGGCAGGTATGAGGGAGATCTGGCTGGTTGATACAAAATAAGGTGGGTTAAAAAACACCAGCAACATAGAATTGCAGAGTTGGAATGTATCCTGGGGTCATCTAGTCCAACCCCCTGCAATGCAGGAATCTCAACTAAAGCATCCACAGCAGATGGCAGGGGCGCCAACTCCAGGGGGGCCGGGGGGCGGGCACCCACAATTTTTTTGTTGTGGGTGCCCAGCCTCCCCCCCTCTGCTGCCAGCTGGCTGCCGCCGCCTTGATAATTTTTGTTGCCCTTTTCTGAACGTTTTCCAGCTCAACGATATCCGCTTTCAGTTGAGGCGACCAGAACCCTACACGGTATTCCTGATGTTTTTATACTGTAGATTTGTATTTGCAGTTTTATTCAGCGGGTCTCCTCTCCGCCTCCCTAGGCTCGGCTTTTTTCACGTACATGTGCAAAGTGTCGCCCGCTCTGGTGCCACCGCAGGAAATCTGGTTGCAATAAATGATTAGAAACCCAGAGGATTAGAGGGTCCCAAATTCAATCGCCGGCCTGACAGTTGACTTTCTATTTCTAATAATAAATGATTTTATTATGGTACTCTTATTATTTAGACACATCTTTGTACACAAGAGAGACTTCAGTGCCAGAACTCGCCACTGAAGAAAAATCCACACTCACGCACCGGGAATCCTGCGAACTGCAGTCCACCCCTCGCAGAGCTACAGTTCCCAGCACCCTTAACAAACTACACTTCCCAAAATTATTTTTTGGGAAGGGTGGAGATGCGTTGTAGAGCCATGATAGACTTGGGTTTTTTTTAATGTTGTTTTAATTCTATTTGCGTTCGTGGCTTTTTTAAAAAAACACACACATGTTTTTAACTCTTTGAGTTTTTCTCTGCACGGTTTTAACTTCCTTGGCCTGGAGCAGCCTTTCTCAACCTGTGGGCCCCCAGATGCTGTTGAACTACAACTCCCATCACCCCCAGCTAGCAAGGCCGGAGCTCAGGGATGATGGGAGTTGTAGTCCAACAACATCTGGGGACCCACAGGTTGAGAACCGCTGGTGGAGGAAAGGCAGGGTGCAAAATACGGATGAGGGCCGTGCGCGCATTTCTGGGGAAGCCTTGTACCCGCCACAAACACACCCCTTTCTCCTTGCAGACCCAGAGCGGGGGCAGCCAGTTCATCCCCTCCTGCTTGCCTCCCCCTTGACTCACCCTGGTGGGCACCGTGCCAGCTCCCCACATGCCCAGAGCAGAGGACGCTTCCCTCTTCCCCCGTGGTGCAAGAGGTGCCTTTCCCTCCCCGGATATTTCTCATAGTTGTGACACCCAACCCAGGCGGCTCCACCCCGCGCTCCTGACAGAAGACAGGCGCTGGCAGAGCCCTCTCCACTTCAGAGAGCTCCGGGGAGAAGGCAGAGGCCAGACGGGAGCGGGTCGACCTCGGCTGCTGAGCGCCAGGTGGGTGCCAGTCCGGGTGCGCCCTCGGTGCCAAGGGGAGAGCGCGCCCTGGCCAGGCGCAAAGGGGCGCCCAGGGGACCGCGGGTGGGCGCAAAGGATGGCTTCGCCGAGAGTTTGGAAGGAGGGGGGGCACGGGAAGGGTGTGGGTGCCAGGGGGCACGGATGGAGCCCCAGGGGTGATGGAGCCTCTGGAGGGGCGTCCAGGGATCAGCGGAGGAAGAGGGACTTTGTTGCGCATGCTGTGTGGGTTTTTTGGGGGGGGTGGCGAGAGTGCCGGTGTGGGTGTTGGTGCCAGGAGTGGTTGGGCTGTGGGGGTGCTTGGTCCGCGTCGCGGGGAGTTCCGCAGGTCAGTAGGGCGAAAGAGAGACCTAAAGTGTGCCTGCGCGTTTTAAAAACTCCGGAGAAGTTGGGATAGGTCTCTAGCTCTTAAGCATTCATTTGAAAGATGGGGGGTTTTTTTTAAGGGGGGAGAGTTGGCCTGGAAGATCAGTGAGGGGGTGAACGGGGGGGGTCTAGTCGGGACAGGAGAGGACAGGGCAGTCACAGGTGCGAATGGAGAAATCTGCGGATGGAGAAGGTTTTGGGGGGAGCTGAAGAAGAGTTGGAGAAAATGCCTGGAAAGAGACGGGCGTTTTTGGTAAGGCAGGTGGGGCGCGCGCATGGAAGACGGTTCAAGGGGTCTCATGTCGGGGTGGGGGGCAGAATTAATGTCCGGGATGTGTGGGTGCTGGAGAGGCGAGCAGTGAAAACATTTTGAGAGTTTGGAAGAGGTGGCTTTCCCAGTGATGCAATGCTGGGGAGTTTTTTTGGGGGGTGGGGAGGAACTGGGATGGGGTCCAAATGTGTTAGATGACCAGCTTAGGTCAGGACTTTTGGGGCAGAGGTCCCTGGCCCCACTGAGCAGAAGGGGCAGTGGGTCGCACCCCAAACAAGCGCAATACTGTAATTTGCATTCCTCTCTAATGAGGGACACCCCATAAGCCCATTAAGTTTAGAATCCAATCTTATCCAACCGGCCCGGCTGAGAGGAATTCCCCCCTCCTTGTTATCCAGTAAGTTGGTTTTGAAAACAGGTGGGCGCCCATTTCAATAGGGAAGGGGGCTTTGAGCCAGAGTGGGGATTTGGGGAGGGGTCTCGAGGGCAGATCAAGGGCTCAGCTTTTTCTAAGATGCTGCCGGCCCGTGTGGACAACACAGGGCAGGATAGAGCGAGAATCTGACTCGGTCTTAAGGACTTCCATCCCAGTTGAATGATGTCAGTTCTGGTTTGGTGGCCGTGATTCCCCGGTGAGGATTTGCAAGTTGTTAGAGACGGGTGAGCCTTGTTTGGGAGGGCGCCTCCCTCTTGATGGGTGCTAGGAAAAGGGCAGGGCAGCGGTGCCAAGGGGCAGAGGGTGCCAGGCGATGCAGATGAGCTGCGGGTGTTGGTGCGGCGAAGGAAATGAATGAGCTGCTAATCTCGGCTGGAGGAATTTGAGACAGAGGAGACATTGGGAAGCTGAGGGCTTTGAAGGTTGAAAACAGGGCTTCCCCCTCACCTCTCTCTCTCTTTTAAATAGATATTTCTTTCTGGTCCTGTAAGTCAGGGCAGGGCGGGTAAGGGGACACCGTCGCATTTTGCAAAGATTCCACAACGACAGCCCTGCAAGGCGAGTTTGGCCAAAATGGAGAGGGACTTGCCCACGGCATTTGGGGATTATTCCACGACTGAACAGGGGATTTCCTTTACAGGGGCCCTATAGAGGGAAGCTTTTAAATGTGTGGTGTTTTATTATGTTTATGTTTCTATATCTATATCCCACCCTGTGGAACGCCCTCCCACCAGATGTCAAAGAGAACAACAACTGCCAGACTTTTAGAAGACATCTGGAGGCAGCCCTCTTTAGGGAAGCTTTTAATGTTTGATGCATTACTGTATTTTAATATTTTGTTGGAAGCTGCCCAGAGTGGCTGGGGAAGCCCAGCCAGATGGGCGGGGATATAAATTATTATTATTATTATTATTATTATTATTATTATTATTATTATTTTATCTGTTGGAAGCCGCTGCAGTGGCTGGGGCAACCCAATCAGATGGGTGAGGTATGATGATGATAATGATAATTTTTACTCGGCCCTGTTCTGGAGTGCGGCCCGAAAACAGGCAAAGGGGTGTTTTTGGTAATTTTGGGTATTGTTTATAATGGGATACTTCAAGAAGAGGGGTTTTTGGAACTGGATTTGCAACGGAGGCTGTTTGGAGAGATTCGGAGGCAGCAACATCCCAGAAACCAGGGCCAAATCATTCAGAAGGTCCTAGGAATAATAATAATAATAATAATAATAATAATAATAATAATAATAATAATTATTATTTATTATTTATACACCGCCCATCTGGCTGGATTTCCCCAGCCACTCTGGGCGGCTTCCAACAAAGTATTAAAATACAGTATGTTAAACGTTAAAAGCTTCCCTAAACAGGGCTGCCTTCAGATGTCTTCTAAAAGTCTGGTAGTTGTTCTTCTCTTTGACATCTAGTGGGAGGGCGTTCCACAGGGCGGGCGCCACCACCGAGAAGACCCTCTGCCTGGTTCCCTGTAGGATGTTGCCCTGTCCTGAGTCAGATCATTGGGATCCACCATTGCCTGTTCTGGCTGGCAGCAGTGGCTCTCCAGAGTTTCAGACCGGGGTCTCTCCCAGCCCTCCAGGGATTAAGCCTGGTGGGACCTTCTGCACGGAAAGGCGGGCGCTGCACCCCTGGGACACAGCCCCATCGCCCTGGTCACACGGCAAAGGGAAAAGGAATCCAGCAACAGGAGGGCCTGAGAGCTGATGCAAGCCTTAAGATCTGGAGATCTGAAAGGGGAACAGCTAAAGCAAATACAAATCTACAGGATAAGAACATCAGGAATACCCTGTAGGGTTCTGGTCGCCTCAACTGAAAACAGAGCTGGAAAATGTTCAGAAAAGGGCAACAAAAATTATCAAGGCGGTGGCAGCCAGCTGGCCGCGGAGGGGGGAGGCTGGGCACCCAGAACAACAAAAATAGTGGGTGCCCGCCCCCCGGCCCCCCTGGAGTTGGCACCCTGCCATCTGCTGTGGATGCTTTAGCTGAGATATCTGACTCAGTTGGTGGTGCAGGGGTTTTAGGGGTGCTGAGGAAGAGGGCGAGCTGTTTTGGAGGAGGGGGGCCTCAGATAACCCCTGAGTTCTTGGGGTTCAGTGTGTTGAGTTTCAGGAAGCTCCTTGCATTTTTTTTTTAATGGTTCATTTCTGAATAGATGGGGCAGTTTGTAAGCTGCAGTTTCTGGCCTAGAAACCCCCTCTGCCTGGTGTGATACCGTGCACCAAAAGAAACGAACTCTGCACACGCTCAGAAATGCTCTCTTCTTGGGTGAAGTTGCAGCCCCGTTTCTCTGCCGGGGTTTATTTCTTTATTTCTTCAGCGTGTGTGGATGTGTGGGCTCCTCTTACCATCAATATTCACGCTTTATACCATATTTTATGCTGTTTTTTGTAGCATCAATTAAGTTTGTTGTTAGCCACCCTAAGCCCGGTTTTCTGAACCGGGAAGGGCGGGGTATAAATAAAAAATTATTATTATTATTTATATTATAATATAATATTTAAAAAATAATAAGGCAGCACCCAGACGAAAACGAGAGGAGAGCATTTCCTCGGTCGACTTCCACTTTCTGTTCCTCTGTCCTGAGAGAAAAGGAGAGTTCTTGGAAGGGGGCCTCAAAGTTTAGTCCAAAAGCAAGAGAGCAGCTTTGACAGGCATCCCTTCTAGCAGGGCTCCTGTGTGGCAGGCGGAAGTTCAACAGAGGCAGATTTTTTTCCCTCCCCAGCTGCACCTGTTGGATTTCTGCCTGTCTGTCCTTGTTCGAAGGCCTTGCGAGAGATGGGAGGGATATGGCAAGCCTGGATCGAGGACCCTGGAGTTCTTTACGAACCTCCACCTGCTGTTGGGAAAAGGATTGCAAGCCGGGACTCCTGGGTTCCCAGATTTGGCCCCAGGGCTTGTTTAGCTGTTGCTTCATTACAGCAAATGGCCCAACCAGAAACTCAGTTTCACCTGCTCCATCCAGCTGAACCGGCAAACCTCACCGTTCGCACACCTTGGCACCCTCATTAGCTGCACGGAGCCCGTCCCCATTGGCTACCTGGCCAGCAGGTGGGTGGGGCACCCTGGGAGATGAGCAACTTTTTCCTGGGAAGGGATATTCCCAAGTCTCCAGTCCTCCCAACGCACACGCAAGTCCCTCGCCTCAGCCGCGCCTCAGCTGCTTCCTGCATTCCAGGCCCTGAGGACGTCCACCTGTTCAGCCACCCGGATGAGAGAGGAAATTAATTCTCTGGATCTCGCCCAGCGCGCAAGAGGGCCCCTGAGCATGGGCAGAGTGCTTTTCTTCCCGTGCAGGGGAAACCCAACCTGCAGCAGCCCTCCTCCCCGCCCCTGAGACTCCTGGGCTTGGTGGGAACACCAGGAAGCTGCCTTATAACTAAACGGATTCATCAAGGGCAGTGCTGCCTGTTCTGGCTGGCAGCAGCACTGCAGGACTGCAGAGAGGGGGAATTGCAGATGCCCGGCCACTGAGCCAGGGATGCGGGTGGCGCTGTGGGTTAAACCGCAGAGCCTAGGACTTGCCGATCAGAAGGTCGGCGGTTCGAATCCCCACGACGGGGTGAGCTACCGTTGCTTGGTCCCTGCTCCTGCCAACCTAGCAGTTCGAAAGCACACCAGTGCAAGTAGATAAATAGGTACCACTCCGGTGGGAAGGTAAACGGCGTTTCCATGCACTGCTCTGGTTCGCCAGAAGCAGCTTAGTCCTGCTGGCCACATGACCCGGAAGCTGTGCGCCGGCTCCCTCGGCCAATAAAGCGAGATGAGCGGCGCAACCCCAGAGTCGGCCACGACTGGACCTAATGGTCAGGGGTCCCTTTACCTTTACCTAGCCACTGGGCCGCAGCCCTTGTTGAAGAAGACAAACACTGGGCTGCTGCTAAACGGACTT